GTAAACAATTTTGGGCACTAATTCATCAGAGGTCTCGGTGCCACAGCCTACACTTTTCATAATTCGAAATCGAATAAGACCTTATTAAGTGATTTCCAAAATCTCTTTATATGAAATAAAGAATAATTATTGTTTAGAAAACAAACTAAAAACAAATGTCTTACCTGGAAATACGTATAAATGTACAATATGATCGTATGAACATAATCATGTCTAGTGCATCGCTGTATGTGTATGCGGTTTTGTTGTTTGTTATGCTATGATGATGAACGTTCTTTTCCGTCTATTTGAAAAGTTTGCGCGTGTAGATAACGTGTGTAATTTTGTTCTGTATTTTTACGAACTGTTGTGTATCGATGTACGCATATCCATCAACATCTACTTATTGAAACGCTTGAAAAATAGGCCTACGTTAATTTTTAATGTATAAACATAATTTCGTTTTTTAATCGCTTATTTAATAATTCATTATCTAAAATACTTGATAAATTAATTAAAAATATTATATTACAATTTATTTATTAATTCATTATCTACTGGTAAATTACTTGATAAATTAATTAAAAATATTATAATATTAGAATTTATTTATGTGTACATAATATATAATAGTAAGAAATAAGACAGTAGCAAGGTTGAATATAGCATAGTAGTTAGGTTTAAGAAATAGGAAAATATTTTTTAGTGGTAGGGTATAGATTTTGAATGGAAGAATGCCTGAAGGTCACAGTCTAGCACCTGAGCCCTATGTCGGCCAAAGACTCAATTTTAATGTCGAAAAAACTAAGGCTATGGTATTTAAAAATGGTGGCAAGATACGAAAAATAGAAAAATTGTATTAGAAAGGAAACGTTATATAAATTGTTAATTCATTAAATACCTAGGTGTATTATTCAGTGCAAATGGTCTTTAGAAAAATGCTAACCCCGGTATTCTTAAAACGAACTTTAGTCGGAGTTCGAGCTAAAACTTTAAAATTACGTATTCTTAAAACGAACTTCGACTAGCACTGCGACTAAATGACGTGAACCTCGACTAAAATGATACCTCCGCAGGCCGATTTTTTAGTCAGCCTATGGTCAGGCTAAATCGCCGACTTGAAATATTTACCACACTAAAAACGTGTTTTTTGTAACTCACGATAAAGTAAAACGAATAAAAATGATTGTATACGCAGGTTTGATATATCTTCGGTGTGTATGGTTAAACAAAGAGACATCAAGTTTAGCTTCCAGAAGGAGAAATTAACATGTTTTGCTGGCCACATATGCGATTGTTCCTGATTTGCACGAAATCTCCTCGCGTTGCGATCACGTAGCTTAAAAATAACAACAACAAAGATGGCGCCGCCCTCGCTCGTGCTCAACTATAATAGTTCTCCAAAGAAAGCAAATTTTCAGTGTCTATTCAAATTCTCTATTGTAACATGTTAACAACTAATATTGTTATTATTATAGAAAATTAATTAAGGGAATGATGGTCTATTATGAATTAGGAGGAAATACGTTTTTGAACCACAGACGACCGCTTAATATTCATCCGCGTTACCGGATCTCTAACATTTCGTCTGCTATTAAAGTTAGCCCTTTTCATTGGTTAGTTTGATAGTCGTGGCTTGCCAGTCGTCTTCAGTTGAACTAAAACTAGGACTTGATTTAGTCGTAGTTAAAACTTCAACTACATTGCTTGTGAATACAAATTGAAGTTAAAGATGCAACTAGCACTAAATGAAGTTCTAGTTCGAAGTTCGACTAAAGTTTGTTTTAAGAATACGGGCGTAAGGACAAAAATTGTATAAAAGTAAAAAAATCTTTCTTTTCAATAAAATCCATAATCAATCGAAATTTTAATCATCTAAATGATAACGATTGGAATCACATATTCGACTCCAAAAGATACTTCCGATTCTCAGGTATGGATCAGAAATTTGGGGCTTTAAAGACATTAAAATGATTGACCGTTTCCATAGCCAGTTTTGTAGATACGTTTTAAGGGTAGGGAATAACGCGCCCAACATATCGATTCTATCAGAAATGGGACGGTTTTCCATATCTTTTACCTGTCTACTTAATAGAATTCGATTTTGGATATACATTATCCACACTGATCAGAACAGGTACTTAGTGAAATGTTATGATTTACAGATTAGAAAAATAGAATGAAATGAGAATTGTTGGGCTATGCAAGTTAGAAATTTACTTTTTTCTATGGACTTTAGTTATGTGTGGAATGCACAAAATGTAGATGATCAGAGCATTTTTATTAATGATTTTAAGTTACGTCTTAAGGACAATGAACGGCAAAATTTTCTTGAGAATGTAAAAGCATTTTCAAGTCTTAAATATTATTGTGTATTTAAAAGTGACATTTATTTAGAAAGTTTCCATCTTTATATTGAGAATTTAAAAATGAAAACAATTATGGCAAAGTTGAGATTAGGCGTTCTTGACCTTGAGGTTGAAAGGGGAAGATGGGGAAAAACACTAAGAAACGAAAGAGTACCGTATGTAAACTATGTAATTATGATTTAGTTGAAGATGAGTTCCATTTTATTTAACGATGTCCCTTTTATAAAAAATTAAGAAAAACTATTTACCACCATATTATGTTAACTTTCCTTCAATAGAAATATTTACTTTATTAATATCCTCTAAAAATCAAAATATTTATTATAACCTTGTCAAGTGCACTTATCTTGCATACAAAAATAGAAACCATTATTTTAATAGCCTACTTACACATAGAAGCTGATTATTTTATGATTTTCTTTTATATTATATTTGGGCCAATGGCCTATATGCTTAATAAATGTCCTAGGTATTATCTTACCTCGGAACAAACGAACGACAAGTAGGCCGACGGCGAATTTTGGTGAAATTATTTCGGATTACAAAATCTGAAAATGGCCACTCTAAAAAGGGTCTCCAATAATAATAATGATGATGATGATGACGATGACGATGACGATGACGATGACGATGACGATGACGATGACGATTATTATTATTATTATTATTATTATTATTATTATTATTATTATTATTATTATTATTATTATTATTATTATTATTATTGCTATTATTGTTATTATTATTATTATTATTATTATTATTATTATTATTATTATTATTATTATTATTGACACTAAATTGACAATAAATTTTAGGAGGCATGTCTTTGATATCTGATTTGTGCTTAAGATGGAAAACTTCCAAGAATGGAAAGTGACCAAAGTGCCGGGTGGGAAAACCCAGTGCAAAAATATATATTAAAAAAAAGTATGCAAGGAAAGAAAAATCAGTACAATACAATTACTTTTCTCACACACCCGTACCACCAAATCCTGCATCCGCATTTAATTCTACTTGATATTTTACCATTATTTTATTATATCACTCTAAAATCAGATGAATGTTTTTTACGTGAAAACAGGAATCATACCTTTATTAAAGAATAAATTCTGGAATTTGGTTTGATTTTGTAGTGGTGGCTCTTATTGATATTGTATCATTGGGAGTCACTGTAAAATCGGATATAAATGTTGTTATAATAATAATTTTAAAATAAATAAATACATTTCAGCCCCTAACCTGCTAGATAATCACGAACCACGCCCATACGCAATTCAGAATAGTGACGCTGCAAGTTATGGGTTATTCTCCAACATTTACCTTTACCATCAACGTATGTAATAAGTCTACATTAAATATCATAACAATTAAAATCAACGATGTAGGCGGCTTATTTTTTAATAATGTATTTTTATAATTAGCATAGCTAGGCTTCCTATAGAAGGAAGATGTTGCGTTTCCTACAAATCATTAATATTAATAATAACAACATGTGTGCTTTTTCCTTCACGGAATTGTATTATTGGAGATAATGGTCCAACTACTGGAATATACTGACCCAAAAATACAAATGGAACGCCAACTGTTCGTAGACGATCCCCCATCAGAAATAAATTTGGAAATAATAAAAAAATAAAATTACAGAAGTGTAAGTTATGATTTTCATGAGTAGATTTCTCATATGATAAAAAAAAAAAAAAAAAAAAAAAAAAAATGGTTCTGGGTTTTGTCTACAGGAGTTCATGCTTAAGTTTAACATCCCATAATAGTATCTCTGGTAGCCTTGAATACATTAAGAAAGCTAAATGATGGAGAAAATTGACAACATGTAGATGCACTTGTAAAATAAATATTTGTTGACGATTTTAATAGATTGTACCTGACATTGAGAATACTTTATATTACAACTACAACTGAATAGCAAATGGAAGTTGCAGGGTCTTGTAAGATTCTGAAGTGTGATTTTTGTAACATGTTGACAAACACTATTAAGATTAATTCCTTGTCCAAGCGATAAGCAGCTCCATTAAAAGTACCAATGGTGATGTTTGTGGAGTGTCTGTTTACTCAAGTTAGAACGGTTAATAACGTACACAAATGACTACGGTATAACGTTTACTTGCATTCTTTATTTCCACACCCTAGCATCCTCATTTCCAACATCGGTATTCAAAATAAAGAGGGCGGTGTCCAAGGATACGACATTACATCCCTCTCCCCCTTAAATGGAATTAACGTCCGTGTATTTGGTAGACTTTGTATTGTACAATAGAGCAGTATTAAGATGTATTATTTATTTTAGTTAGTTAGAAGTAGCTTGCTTTGCTAAGTTGTTACTATGTTGTTTTTTTTTTTGTTTTTTTTTTTTGTTTATTACTATTTATTTATTTTCTTTATTATTATTGTTTTAACGTTCAAACTATTCTCAACATCATAAACAAAATTTGCAAAAGTTCGGTTTCTCAAATCAGTTACATAACATAGTTCTTTAGTCGGCTTGGAAGTCTGATGCTTCTCTTTGGTCGTTGCCTATCTGGTGTTTGAGGTGCTGGGGAAAACTGAGGTGCCAGGGTTGGTTCATCGTCATAGTCACTATCGAGTTGAAGCTGTTGATTGTAACTTTTACTGTTCTTGAGTCGGTCAGACCTGTCAATGCTTAAAGCCAGAGTATTGTGCAAATTGTAAGAACTCTCCTCCGTTGAATGGTGGGCCACTGTCTGTTCGAACAGTTACTGGAATGCCGTAGGTAGCAAAAAATGGTGTCGAGTTTGGGATCACACTTTTGGCTAATGCTGATTTCGTGACTTCTATCACAGGAAACCTGCTATAGTCATCGATTACTATCATCACGTATTCTCCCGTTGGCAATTCTTTAAAGTTAACCCTTACCTCTTGCCAAGCTCCTTGTGGGAGTTTAGACATACTTAGTGGTGCAAAGGCGTCCTTCTCGAGAGTTGATGCATGACACGGAAGACATGAAGCTATGGTTTCTTCAGCCATATGATCAAGGCCATGGAACCAGACTTTCATCCTCATGAGTTGTTTTGTTTTAATTACTCCCTGGTGGCCTTTATGTGCGATATCGACTGCTCTTTGTTGTAATGATTTGGGAATTACAATGCGATGATCACGCACCAGTATGTCGTTTTTAACACTAACACTGAGTTGGTCTCTGAGTTTGAAAAGAGAGTTGATGTCTTTTATGGTAGTCCCCGATGCCTGCCTTTGAATGTTGTGCCACCTGTTGGTTTTTAATGCTGATATACATAGTTGTAGCGTTTTGTCTTTTGCGGTTTCGAGTTCTATCTCTTCAACAGTGAGGGATCTTGGAATTGCATTTGATAGTGTGAGATTAACATACACTTCTGCCATTCGTTCCTCTCTGCTGGATTCTTTTGTCGTTGGCAATGGGTGGCGGGATATTTAGTCCGCTGTGTTGACTTTTCCTGATTGGTATTTTAAGGTGTAGTCGTATTTTTGTAGTCTCATGAGCCAGCGTTCTATGTACAATGGTGGTTTGTCATTGGCGCTGTTGAAGAGAGGGAGCAGCGGTTTGTGATCTGTAACAACCTCAAATTTTCCTCCGTACAGATACAAGTGGAAGTGTTTTATTCCCCATGTAACGGCCAAGGCTTCCCGTTCAGTTTGTGATTAGCGTTGTTCTACTTGTGTCAATGATCTGCTGGCCAAAGCCACCAAGACTGTTTTATCACCATCCTGTTGGGCTAACATTGCACAAAGGCCTACTGGGCAGGCATCAACAATTACCGATGTGGGGAGTTGCTGGTTAAAATATGCTAGATTACAATGTTCTGTGATAGAATTTTTGACTGCTTGAAGAGCGACTGCATGTGGTTCTTCCCACATCCATTCTGAATCAGCTTTCGCCAGATTAGGTATGAAGCGTGAACAATAAGTAGCAAGTCCTAGCAGGCTTCCAGCCTCTTCTTTATTGGTTGGTGATGTTGCATTTTGCAATGCTTTAACTTTGCCTGGACTTGGGGAGATGCCACCTGAATAAAACACATGCCCAAAGAACTCAACAGTTTCTTTGTTAAATTCATATTTTCCTTTGTTTAGAGTCAAGTTCTTCTCCCTAAGCCTCTGAAGACTGTTTTTAAGATTTTCCTTATGGTCCATTGAGTTTACGCCATACACCAGGATGTCATCTGATAGGTTGATCACGCCAGGGAGACCAGTTAGCGCAGACTGGATGAGATTTTGAAATTGCTCGGCTGCACTGTTTACCCCAACGTTTAGGCGTTTAAACTGGAACAGACAAACGTGCGTTGAAAATACAGTCAGAAACATGGATGCATCATCTAGCTCTATTTGATGATACCCATTCTTTAGATCAAGTTTAGAAAATACTGTTGCACCGTTGAGGCTAGCAATGGTGCATGGAGTTATGGATTGCCTAGCTAATGTACGGTCATCTATAGTTCCTTAACATTCACGTATTTGTTAAGTTGTACAATAATTATTGGATTCTAAGTGAATGCCAAATATATTGTTTGAAAGTGAAGATTCCGAACGAATAAATCGACGTTTGATATTCGATCAGAGATACTCTAGAAGAATTTATTTTTAAAGAGACCATTAAAGAAACCATGTCTAAGCCCGTTGGACGTCCTGTAACAAGCTACATAACTACGGTAATAACAACAAGGATAAGCACCTACCCAATAAAGAATGTAATAAGCCTACACAATCGAATGACGTAATAGTCTTCAACACTCACGCTGAACACGTTAACAAAGAACATGACGTATCATCTAAACAAAAGGATGAACATTTTCTGAGCGTGAAGCCTGTTTTCTATAAAAACAGTGACTTGCGAGGACAAGGGGATGACCTTTTGAACGAAGAAATTATATACTTCGCATTGTGCGAAATTATCAGTGGAGAAAATCTTGTAGAAATACAAAAAATTAAAAAAAATCTATTGAGAATATACATAAGTGATCTCGGATACAGAGTTAGAATCCTTACTGCAGGACTCAATCTTAATGGAAAAAATGTGACAGTACATGATAGAAATTCTTATCTCCAAATGAGTAATGGTATTCGTGTACTTGTAAAGGATATACCAATTTCAGTACATAACGATGAGATCAAGAGCTGCTTTAAACGCATTGGCTGTAAAATAATTGGCAGTATCCAATATGTGAAATTTCGCATAAACAGAAAATTATCAAGATTTGTCAACGGAGATAGATCAATAATAGTTGAAAATTTCAAAGGTAGTTTGCCACGACTAATGCTTGGCTTGAATGCCACAGATGCGGTAAGAAGGGGCATGTTGCCAGATCTTGCGTTGAAGAAACAAATCTTACGGAGGATATACAAGACTCCTTAACCACCGACATCAGATCGTGTATATCAGACGGCAATCCAAGTTGCAGTGAGGATGATGAGGAAGGTAACAACTTGCTGTTTTAGCCGACACCAGATGAAAAGTTTATACAAAGGATGTGGAAAAATATTGTCGAAAAGAAAAATCAAAGCGAAGATGACTCAAAATGGAGCTTTGGGTCAAGCGCAGTGGCGTCGAGAGGGGGTCAGGAGGTCGCTGCCCCGGGGCCCGGGTCTACTGGGGGCCCGGACGAAGATGAAACATTTTCGGGGTAAGAACAAAATCTCCATAGGGCCCGAGCACAAGCTAGGATGAAAAATTTTGTTTATCAGATATAGGAGACTTAATTTGGGGAGCGGCCGAGTGGGGTCCCAAGTGAAGGGGGGGGGGGCAAAGAGGTGTTGCCCCGGGGCCTTACTGGCTCTCGACGCCTGAGGTCAAGCGACATCGAAAGTAATGATGATAAGAGTGAAAACATAAAGGGTTTCAGAGAGGATGCTAGTGACAACGACACAAATGACTACGTTATCGCCCCCAACAGAAACAACACAAGAAAAGACACCGGTAATGTGCAAACGAGAATCACTACGTTCATTAAGACATCTTTGCGCAGTTCGGATGACGTAGCTAACAACGCAGAAACTGCTACAGAAAATTACAGTGATAAAGCTAAGAAAGTAGATATCCCACAAAGTCCAGAACGGAATCCTTTTTGCAATCAAACTCTTTTTTAGTAGAATTATCTTTAAACAGGGGCGGATTTAGAGGGGGGCTAAACAGGCTTTAGACCCCCCCCCCCTAAAAGTTTATAGCCATTTCTTTTTAACTGCTTTTTGAAGGTCCAAATTAAAATATTGTTTAGTGTTTTCTTCACAAAAATCATATTTATGGGCTAAACATTTTACAGCAGTTGTTTTTCAGTGATAAAATTAAAATAGAAATGCGTTTTTTAACCGATCAGCGGAAAAAAAACGTAGCTAAAGAAAGCTGATTGTGCCTTGCCTTCATGCTCAAATCTCGAAGCAAAGGCCGTTGCGTAGCGGTCTCAACGTTTGTATAATAAACTAAACTTTTCGTGTCGCGCGGCTTTGTTCTTGTCTAGTCTTTCCTTGATTGCTTGCGGCCAGAGGTATTTGAATGTTTGTAAATAAACTAATAATAAACTAAAAATTTCGTGTCGGGCGAGTCGTTCTTGTCTAGTCTTGTCTTGATTGCTTGTGGTCAGAGGCAGGTATTTAAAAGTTTGTATGATACACTAAACATTTCATGTCGAGAGAGTTGTTCCAGTTTAGTTTTTTCTTGATTGCTTGTCGTCGGATACTACTACTACACTTAAAACATATTCTAAGGGGAATTCTTTTGTCGTCTGAGGTTCTCCTTAACATTGTCAAATTTTACCTTTAGGGACAGTATTTTTATTATGGAACTGTTTTCACCCTCTTCGTTGTCTTAGGTTCCCCATGGCAACCCTTTCACCAGGATTTTTAAAGAATGGTGAAATTTCAGAAAATGTCCTCAAAATTTTAAGGGTGGTGCACACAATTCTAAAGGGTGGATACAAACAATTGCTATTTTAGTACATAGCAAGTGACACGATAAGTCTGTTTATTGACCTTGCATTTGCATTCATATTTTTTGTTTTTGAAGCGTGGTTCCAATTAAGCATAACAAGCCCGTAGCCAGGGGGGTTCGTTGGGCCTAGCCTGGAGCCTATCATCATTAAAAGTCCTCTTTTAATACCTGATTGTTAGGCCTACCTAGTAACATAAAAAATTCAGGCCTCGAAACCTTGACTCAGAAATACCGAGATGGTGTCCGGCGGGGGATAGTTTCACCTGTGTATATATATGATTATAATACGCTACAACCAGCCATACAAATTTGTCTCGGTTATTTTTGCTATTGATTGTCTTAAGTGAGTAGCCTATAGTATGATACAACTTCAAGAGTTCTAAATAAATAAAAAATAAAGAATAAACCATACTGGATTCTTTGGAGTTTGTATCATGCTACTGTTGTTAAATTACCAATACTGTAGTACTAAAGTAGACGGTAGCTTTTTTTTTGTTTTTTATCTTTTCCCAACTCAAAAAATCAATTGGATCCGCCCTGATAAATGACTAGTATTTATTGCGTATCATTGAATGTTAGAGGTTTACGTAGCAATAACAAGCAGAGAAATATACTTAGTTGGTGTCACAATCAAAAATGTGACGTGGTACTATTCAAAGAAACGCATTTTACTCCTGAGCTAACTAACTCATTTAATGCTAAATGGAAGGGTACTTGTACACATAGTTTCGGTACTTCATATAGTGCTGGAGTCTCAATTCTCATTGAAAAAAGAATGCACCCTTGACAAAATCACAGAGAGTATTGATAAAAATGGGAGGTATGTGATTTTAAAAGTAAAAATTAATAATAACACTTATGTCATTGTCAGTATTTATGCTCCAAACAACTGTAAATTAAGAAGTACATTTTTTCAGAGAGCTGAATATTATACTATGATGAAAATTGTTGACTTAGAAAATGATAAAGTCATCATTGGTGGAGATTTTAATTGTATACTAAATGAAAAAATTGACTAAAAAATAGTGTGAATAGAAAGGTGTCCGTGTTCACTCTAAAACGTTTTACGAAAAAGCTAAATTAAAAACATGCATGGAGGGATAGAAATCCTAAAAAAAATGCAGTTCACATGGAGAAGAAAATGTAATCAAGTATACAGAAGATTAGATTACTGATTAGTTTCAAAAAAGTTTTAAATTAAGATGAAATAAAGTCGTGTGATATACGGCCAGCAATTTGACCGACCATCAAGCTATTTTAATAAAAATTGAGTATACCTTATTAAAAACAGGACCCTGATACTGGAAGTTTAATAATAAATTATTAGAAAATACCGACTACAAAAATGCAATTCGAAAATTAATTATTCAAACACAAAAGAATGAAAACAACTTTAACTCTGAGTTATTGTGGGAATTGGTGTCAATTTCGCACGGTAAAAATA